TATTGTGTCTTGTAGAGGGACCCTGGGAGATTTTCCTTAATGGATTCCTTAGTGATATATAGTACAAGACAGTAAGACAGTAAGACGCATTATTTGGAAACTTTCTGTTATCCGGAGACGGAATCTTGGGCAACTCCCGGATCCTGGGGCCGTCCCCGAAAAAGCGTCTTTGTGTCTTGCGTCTTACAGGGCGGTATGGGTGGGTGCCACGTCAGCAAAACAAAGCGGCTAAATGTGAATCGCTTGGCGAATGGCAAACTGCAAAACGGCAATCTTCTACTGTACCATTGACGGTGAGTTTTTCAGAGGGATAGACAAGTGACATGGAAGTGCCAGGGCTCTTGACCGATCAGGACTCGCTGACTCACGGCTTTCGAACACCTCTCTCGAGTCGAGATTCTCGCGACCACGACGAGTTTGCAATGAGGCTGGAACGCCTCAGGTCGTTTCGCACCATTGCCGAGGGTCCAAAAGGGTCACACCGAGAGTCTTCAAAGACACATGATGAGGAGATTCTCACGATACCTCCATACCAAGTTGAGAGTGCCCACTGCGGACAGACTCAGGCGCGAGTGTCATGATGCAAATATTAGTAGGGCAGTGACAAAGCATATGGCAGTCTACGAGTTGCGTCATCCGATGCTCTGGCACGATATCATGCCTTGCAGAGCATACTGCAGGAACTGAGGGACGCTAGGAATTTCACCTCAGTTCGTCTCTGACTCCGAAACATCATGCATCGTCCTCCCGACGGTCCTCGAAATACTCCAAGATGGCTTTCTGGAAATCCTCACGACCTCAGCAGAGTAAAACGTCTTGGAAGCGGTCTGCGTGCTTGTTTTCCTTTCTGGATTTCTTAGTGATAATCAGTAGAAGACAGTATAACATTGGTTTGCAAACACGCGCGCACTTCGTTGTGAATGACGTGGCTGTTGCCTGCGAACACGCGCGCGCTCATTCCAAATTGGTAGCCTGAAGTTGCTGGTTTGCGAACGCGCGCGTAGTCAAGAGTTGAAATAGACGTGGCTGTTGACCGCGAATACGCGCGCGCTCATTTCAATTTAGTAGCCAGAAGTTGCGCGTAGTCTGAATTCGAAATGATGCGGCTGCTGCCCGCCAACACGCGCGCTCATTCCATTTTTTTTTTAATTTTTTTTTGGAATGTACAAGTCTGGCGCTCATTCCAATTTTGGTAGCCTGAAGTTGCGTGTATGGTGCCATGTCCGACTAGGAAAATCGCGCTGATCAAATAATATAAAAGCGCGCGCGCCTTCGCACTGTGTTTCATCCGGCTGCTACGGCCGCACAGCGAACCGGATTTCCGTACTGATCAAATACGGTGCGTCCGATACGATATCGGACGGAAAGACTGACTGCGGAAGATGAACGGTCGCGAATCAAAGGGCATACGCTTGCAGCGAACAATGTTCTGCTCGACATTCGGTAATTCCGGAGGTATAACATGGACAGAGGAGCTAAAGCTGGCTGCTGTTCGAGATCCAGATGCAAAGGGAGCAAGGTGAACTGAAGGCGTGCGGTGTGTGGAAGAAAATGAGAAGCGAGAGGTTGAGGACTATTCGGCAAGTCAGGTACATCTCAACATCCTTATGGCATGCGTGCTCAGCTAGTCTGCTGCAAATACTGCTTTGTCCATCTGCTTTCGAGCATATGTGAACAAACCATGGCATCTAAACTTCCTGCATCTCTCAAATGTATTGAATCAGGATGGAGGGCAGTGGCGTCTGGCCTCGAAAAACACCCGTGCTGGCGTCTTATGATACTCCGGACATCACCGCCTTCCTGATGGAGTTTTACCTGGGCCTGATGGCCCTTCTTCAGTTGGTTGACTCGGGCATCGTTGAGGAAGGGGTGATTTCAAGCGAATCTCCTCCGGCCCGGAGAAGGTGGATGGCATATCTTCCTGCTCGGCTGAACAGCCCAGTGGATTGGGAGAGAGCTTCGGTTGCCTACGAGCAACTTCTGCAAACTTTCGAGGTATTTGCTGAACCTTTTGAGCCATTTCTGCTCATGGCAGCTGAGATTGGGACCATACCAGAGCAAGATATTGCATTCGAAAGATGGGTTCAGCAGTGCATCCGGTTGCTACTGACAAGCTCAAGGGTCAGTACGGTTAGGAGTACCGGCTTCCGTTCCCGTCGCGAATTTAGTGAGGCTCTCAGGGGTACTCTTGTGGTAGCTGACCTCATTCGCAAAACATATGTGAATTTGGTAGGAAACACTAGCCTACCAACTGCATGACACATGGGCAACTTCTTGCGGAAGGGACGCGGTAGATACGGAAGCGCGGGCCCATACTGAAGATACAGGCTGTGAGACTCTCCAGTGAATGGAAGTTTCGGACTTGCTAGGCAAAACACTGAGCAACATTGTGCAACAACTCTTTTCTATCATCCTTTATACGAACTTACTCCAGTCGAGAAACCCAAAGAGGATCATTCAAGACCGTAGGACGAGCATCGCACGGCATATGTCAGAAGAGTAGGCCCACAAAAGTCGATTCCTAAGGATGAAACGTTTATAGCATCGATGCGCTAAATGTGTCCGTGTCATGTTTATCGCTCATTTACTGATTATAACAACTGTCGATCACCCCTCTGGTAAAATTGAGGACTACTTTGCATTCAATGGAGGGACATACATATATGATGACACTTCTTGGATGTCTCGGCAGTGCATGTGTGTTGTGATTCAAAAGCGTGGAAGATGTAAGCTGGATTTCTCATATCGTCTGCTTGCTGAGCTAGCTCTCAAAATACGATCAGTCGACAAGCACTTCATGCGAAGACCCTAACACCTTAAAACCCTATCCGGACATCCCGACAAGTCCCAGATCACTTCGTAAACCCTAAAATGTTTGAGGCTGCACTGGCTCCCACTCCGCTGCGTCCGTTCGGGGAAGGGTCGAAGGGATATCGTACCCTCCAGGCAGCGGTGCAGCCTTCTATCGTAACTTGTCAGATCTAGTCCACTCGACGGATTGCCTACCGGAGCTTTGCACATCTCTCCAGCGACGCGACCGAACCGCCGCAACCCACGGCCACATGTTTTTTGAGACGCGTGGAAGATCGAAGCCACCAGCGCCCCTTGCATGGCGTTACCGCCTTGCGTACGGTGCGACACCCAGGCCGTCACGATCTCGCCGGCCATGTCGCCCACGGACAGGGGGGAGCCTCAGCTCCACGCCGGCAATTGAGCCCGTTCCTGGAGCGTCTTCCTACTGGTCTTCGTGCGCACGTCCCGCTGGTCCCCCGGCATATTTATCAGCGCCCCGCACAAGGCCGGTAGAGGACTCCCTCCGCCGCCGTCAGCCTCTACGTTTGGACCGCGTGTCCGAGCCTTCGTTCTGGGAACAGGAACATCCTGTCCGGGTTGGGAAGATTTTGGCCGTATGAACCAAGCCAGGACTCCAACGAGCAAATGGCCGTGCCTTTTGATTGTACCGGGTATTGTAAGGAATACGAGAGTTCGTGACCCATCATGGCATATGAACACATGTACTCCATTCTTATCACGTAAGATTGATTCTGTTGTTTCTTGTTTCTTGCCGTACTCCATGGACGAGCATACTCGGGATCGTGTAAGAGATATATTCGTTGCCACAGGATGCACGTTTCAAAAGCACATGGGCAATTACGTAGCGAATAAGAACCAAGAAAGAATAGGACGATTACGTGTCCAAGATCGATAGGCGTCACAGAACCGGACTCATGGACGATTGTATGTCACCATGCGACCAGTATTTGGCCTACATGTACTTGGCAGAGAGAGAGACACTGCTTCGCAGATTGCACAAAAAAGGAGTCCCACTTCGTTGTAATGTCAAGGGTGCCTCGTGCAATACACAAGATGCAATCCAGCCCTACTCAGCTTTAAGCTACCAAACCTCAAAGTTCTGCAAATTGTATATGGTTCGTCAACTTCTGCACGCGCGCCGCGGCCCTGTGGCCGGGGTACCCCGTGGACCGGATCAACGACGCGATATCGCCTCCCCTTTCTACGTATTGCCGCACCAGCGAGCGGTCCGTAGTCGATTTGTAAGGGATGCCGATGACGTCGACCTCCATCCGCCTCATGAAGACGCACGCCAGTTCCACCGTGCTCTTTTGCCGTTTCAAAAAGAGACCCAGGGACACGCCGCAGAGGTCATCCTCTCGTAAGTCCACGTGGGCCGATCGCGCCATTTCATCGGCTGTCTTCAAATCCTTCTGGATCGCGGCGGCCTGCCCGATGATTTCATCCGACTTCCCCAGCCCCAACGTCACGTAATCGAAGGTGTTCACGTACTTCGACACTCGAGAGTCGAATGATTTGAGGATATTATCGACCTCTCGCTGCCTGGCCTCTTCTCTCAGCTGCGCCGCGCGCGCCGCCGCCGCCGCTCGCACTTCAAGCCTGGAAATGTAGGCGCGCAGACCAGACACCCCGCCGTGCTTCCCTGCGGCTACTTCCACCAACAGCGCCAGGTCGTAGCGGAACCCGACGACGTTGGGAAAGCCCTGGGCCTCCCTGTAAGCGTGCAAGTCGCGCGAAGTCACCCGCAAATACGCCCTCGCTTCCGTCACGTTCATAGAATCCCCCGCATGCGCACGCAACAGCCGCAGGAGCCACAGGGCGTCGGCCGGCACGCACGGGACGGACCCCTTGAGCCTCTTTGAGAGAAGGGCATTCCAGCCCACAGAGTGCATGGCCTCCTTCCAGTCTTTGCAGACCAGCGCCATGCTAGCGGCGCTCTGCTCTGCTAACTGCATTGACTCCTGTTCTGCGACGGGGACAGGTGGGTCTATGAGTCCGGGGGAAGCATCCTTAGGCTCCTCCGACACCAGGACCATCACCACTATCTTTTCCAGAAGCTCGGAGGGTATGCACCCTGCATAGTTCACCGCCATCAGTGCAGGTGGGGTCGGGCTGAGCTAGGCTGCGAAGTTGCGATCCGGAAATGAAGGTTCTCGAAATCGAATTCCGAAGGTCATTCATGGACTTGTCTGCGAAGAGTCCCGGTCCGCGAATTTTAACTTTATTAATAATCGCCGTACCCGGGTCCAAAAATCGGAAGTTAAAAGGCCCGGCCGTGCGGGTTCGTACGGTGAGACCCGGATTTGATTTTCGGACTGGGATAGGCAGTCTACTGATAGTCCACAAGTACTTGTCTACGAGTAGTCCGACTTAACTGCATTTGCCCGGTACCTACCGGTCCGATTAAATTTCGGCCGTACGGCAATTCAAGAAAAGGACTCTAATAGAGGGTCACTTTTCGTACATTCGCCCCTACTCAAGAGTCAGAAGCTAGGCTAAGACTACCCAGATAACCTCAACCGGAGACCTCGCAGCCCAGACCAGTGATCTGCTTCTTGCTCAGGCTCAAGCCTCTCCTCTCGGCTACGCTCCAACTCGCTGCTACAGCGAGCGACGATGGCGTCCTCCCTTGCAGTGCCACGAGCCCGTTCAAGTCGGCGCACAGCAGTCCGCATTCTGAGAGGAGACTCTTCGTTGCGGCGACGTCCCGCCCTACCATGATCCGCTCGCAGCAAATCCCCAGACCCCTGAATCCACTAAATCCACCCGCTGTCTTCATCCTCGTTCAGTGCCTGCAAAGGGCGCAAAGACGAAATGTTCAGGATATATGTGACTAAAGCGTCTTCATGTCACAGGTTTCTCGACGCTTTGCGAGGGGGAGTATCACGACTGTGCGTACGCGGGGCACGAAACGGATAGGCTGGTCGCACTCACCTCCTTCAGCGCAGCTATCGTGTCGTCCCTGGCCTTGATCTCCCGCATCAAATAGTCGTAACAGCCGCGGATGAGACCGAAGCGCTGGGGCGTCCCGATCGGGCAGGCGTGGGAGTATTTCTCGCTCCTGTTGCCTCTCCATGAGCACCCCAGCTGCGCACCGTCCGGAGCAGAGAGCGCAAATCTGCAGCTAATGGACTTGCAGGCTCGCGCGTGAGCGTCTCTGTCCTTGCGGGCGTACCTGCAGGGTGGGAAGCGCCGTGTTTTAATGTAAGTCGGGGAAACGTCATAGACCATTGCGGGCAGCCTCACTCAGACGGCGCCTCCCCAGCCCAGTTCACCGCGTACGAGCCCAGTCCCTCACCTGACGGGGCAGCCGGGCTTGTCGCACCGGATCAGGTTGAAGGGACACTGGGACAGAAGGTGCGTCTCCAAGTCGTCCATCGTGATCAGTTCCGGGCACTGGGGACTGGTGCACTCGACGAGGGCGGTGCTTCTAAGTAGCGCCGTGGCGGTGGGATCCGGTACGGTCGATGCTGGCTTCTTGCAAGTAACACAATAGCTCTCGAAACGAGGATCGAGGGTGTGCGAGGTGCATATGTAGACCCGACACTGGCACCGCTGCACCGGTGCATTGCAGACCAACCTACTCATGTCGCCCTGGTCCCAGCCAAGGCAGATGAAGCATCGAATGTCGTACATGCTCGACTCGAATCCTTTGATGCTGTAAGGCTCTTCGTGCACGACCACCGTCGTCGTAGCCTTGCGTTTGGCCGAAGGCTTGAGGAGAAGGGGCGCCATCCTGCTCGACCGCTTGCTTCTGGCCATGTCTCGTCAGAATGTCTCGACGCGGACAATATCGAGATACTTAACCGAGGACGGACCAGACTCTACGACGAAGTGTCCCGTCGGGCCTCTCGACGCAGGCCGACTCTTCTGCGGAGACTCTCACACAACCGTTCCGCTTGAATAGATCCTACCCGTCATTTTCCGGAAGGCTACACAGGGTAGCGAGTCTCCACGCACGATCCCGCTCCTCGCTCGGCTGTCCCACTCGGCTGATATGGGCGCGATGCCGGCTTCCGTCCGGATCGCCGCGAATACCAACGACAGGATGGACCACCTCAACGACGCCATGCAGACTCTCGGGCTCTCTTGGGCGAGCATACCGCTAGCGCAGGCTGACGCGTCGGAGTACGTGCGCAACGGTCGGACGGGCGAGGGTGCTCTGCTGGGAAAACTCGCGAGGCACGCCGCCCTCAACAAATTCCTCGCCGGCAAGCTACACGGCGACGAGCATACATTGGGCGCGTGCCGGTCGTACGTCCAATACGGGGGCGAGCTCGTTGAGCTCATCGAAGTGATACGGATTCACGAGTCTTTCCGAGTGCACGTGGGCTGCAGCAAGATCGAGGACAGGGAGCGCGCACTGTACGGTTGGATGTGCAAGAACAGCGTAATCAGGATCTTAGAACTGACGCCTAGCATCATCCAGTCGAGTAGAAATTTTGACGTTTTACTGGTACGTAGAGCTTTAGCTTTCGGTTCGAGCCCCCCGACGCGTTTCAGTGTCGTAGAAGCTAAAAAAGTGTGCCAAGGTACTGTAGACCGACTGCAAATCGTCTCGAGTGTCGAGAACCCAAAGTCTCGATCGCGATCGAAGCGACTGAGCGTCCAAAGCTAACGCTAAAATACAACGCGCGCATGTCGCTGCGTTTGTCATTTCTTTTCTCATGGATGGAACTCACATCATCGACAATCTAAGGCAAAACCACGGCGGATGGCTTCATGAGTTTGACTAATCATGTGAATGAATGGGCATGCTACAGATTAGAGAGGATGCCTATCAAAATGGCCAGCCCGACGAGGTCGGCGACCAGGCTCGCAGAACCGGAGGTCTCGATCAGCCGTATGCCGGTCTCGAGGCCGCACTTGGGGTTCGACTGGTCGGGGTCGTCGTCGACCGTCCTGGCGACGCCTCCGAAGAAACATTTGGACGCGTCCTGCTCTCCGTCCTGAAAGTAGCCATTGAAGGCGAGGGAAGCGTGTCTCCTGAGGTTGGGCGGCGAGTAGCAGGAAGCGTGCTGCTGTACCGACGTGCAGTCCGTGGCGTTGCAAGCGAACGACAGGGCGGCGATCAGAGCGGCGTCCGTGGAATCGCTCCGCGCGACGCAGAACTTACGAGCGGTAGCTTCGTAATCGACGTCGCGCACCAGGTCGTACGTGCCTACCATACTGGCGTTCACTTTCGAGCGGGCCCTCGAGTCGTAGATGCCCCACCGTCTCGCCCACGGCGCGTCCTCCGTGAGAGCAGCGGCGTCGGAGTCTACGAGCTGGCGAAAGACCGCTGAGTTATCCGCCCCGGGTCGCTTGGGCGTCCCGGCTTCGGCTCCGACCCAGCGCGCCACTCCCGCCAGAAAGGTTCCCGCCAGTTCGGGAGTGGCTCGCTCGACGCCGTCGGTCGGCCAGCCCGTGGTGAGGATCACGGTCTCGTCGCCGAATCCGAGCGCTTCCAGAGCATAGACGGCCGCGTCGTGGAGGGAAGAGAGGACATCGGCGTACCACAAACCCCCCCCATCGTCCCAGAACCCCTGCGCATCCGGTTCCAACGCCAGAAAGGAAAAGGTGGCGGGGTCGTCCGTATCCAGGGCGAGGAGGAACGGGTACGCTTCCAAGGAGAGGGCTCCCGCGGAGGGCAGCGCCTCGGCGAGCACCCGTGCGACGCTCGGGGAGAAGGCTCCGGCAGACGGCGGATAAGACACCGAGAGGTCCGCCAAGCTGACCGATACGGTCACGCCGACCCCGAGCGGGTTCACCAGGCTCGCCAAGTTACTGAGGGCGGCCGGCATGGAGTCGTAAAAGCGCGCCCCGTACTCCTCCGACAGCGGCGCCTCGCCCAACTGGACCGCATCGACTCGGAACCCTCGAGCCAGGGGCCTGGTCACCTCCTTCTCGACCCACTCGTGCAAGGCAGGGGACGACAGCTCCGAGAACTGCTCTATGTAGTCGTTCGGCACCACGAGCGAGACGCTGACGTTCGAATCCGGCCTCAGGAATAGACAGTCGGCCGTAGAGCGCACGGCCAGGCCCCGGAATCCACCGGCACCGACGACCTTCGAGACGAGGCCGTCCGGCACGGCGCGCACCTGGTCCCTCTTCAACGCGGCGAGGAGGCTTCCCTGGGCGGTCCCGGCGAGGAGCGCCAAGGTCGCGAGGCAGGCCAGCGCGTTCACTCTCATCGACGCTCGCAACGGTACGAGTAGGCGGAGAAAAAGCCGCGACCCTGCCTGCGTCTCGCCGACCCCTCTCGTTCTCGCCGCTAGCGTCAGAGGGGACTCGACATGCATCCGATCTCAGCATGCCGGCGCGCATCGCCTCTCTCGACGCCGCGCTTCCAAGACATCTTCGTCGACGCGAGTCTGAAGGCGGATCGAGCGGGCATCGGAGTCAATTACCATACGCGCCGGGAGTTCGAGAAGTACAGCCTCGTCCGCCGCCCAGACCGCCGCCCGGACAGCAACCACGCGGAGCTCGCCGCCATCTTCGTGGCCCTCCTCCATTCGCGAGGGAGCCGGAAGACTCGAATCTTCACGGACAGCCAGACGAGCATCGATCTGATCCGCGAGGGCACGCTCGACCCGCGCTTCGCCGTCCTGGTCGGATGCTCGCGCTGGCTACTGGCGGAGAGTGAGGAGACGCTGCTGTTCAAAGTCAAGGGCCACTCCGGGGTCCCTGGCAACGAGGTGGCACATCGGCTCGCGGCCATGGGAAGGCGCGACGGCGCGATCGTACTCCCCGACTACTTGATAGGCCGCGCCGAGTGCCGTGACCGACTCATCCCGGCGCTCATCGACGAGTGCGCCCGCCTGAACCAGTGGCAGATCGAGTCATTCAAGCGGACGCAGGCAGGTCGGCTTCGTCAAGGTGATAGCACATCAGCATGGAGGCCCCGGGGGCCTTGAGGGACAGGAGGAGAGTTCCGGGAGATGCGATGCAGACGCGGGCGTCTCTCGTGCTCGCTCGCATGAGCTTCTCGGTGAGCGCCTCCGCCGTGTCGGAGCGCTTCTCCAGATCCACCACGAATGCTGCCTTGTAAGGAGCGTCCTCGCAAGCGGAGATCATGAGCAGCAGCTCGGTCTGCACCAAGAAACGGACGATGCCCACCATCTCGGGCGAGGTGCCATCCTCGGAAGCAGCCAGTTCCCGAAGCTCCCTGACGCGGCTCCTGACGTCGAGCGCCTCCACTCCCACCAGTTTTCTCGAGAGCGAGAGCAATCTACTGGGTCTCATGCTCGCTTCCTTGTCATATGCGGCCGACAATATGTGGGAACTGAAGGTTGCTTGTACGGGGAACATCACCGAAAATCATGATAACCATGAAGGCGTCTCATGGGACAATGCTTTTCGAGGGGGGACGAGCCCAAGGTCCCGGTGCAGCAGAACAGGCCACCAAGCCTCGATTACAGGACGTTCGACTTCAAACCACACTTTCACAAGGCGTTCCAATTGGCAGAGGAGATCGGGAGCGGGAGCTTCGGACGCACCCACGTGGCCTTCGCCAGGAAGATGGGAGATGGGGATGGCAAGCGAGTGGCCGTGAAGGTCATTCCCAAACGCCGGATGTCGAGCCAGGTCGAGATTGACGACGTGGTTCGAGAGGTAGAAATCCTGCGCGTGCTCCAGCGCAACGAAAACGTGGTCGAGTTCATAGACGCTTACGAGGACGCCATGAACGTATACATAATCATGGAGCTGTGCTCGGGTGGGGACCTGTCGGACAGGATCCTGGACGCCGGAGGGCGGTGCTCTGAGGAGAGCGCGGTGCCCTTGGTGTGGCAGATCCTCAGCGCAGTCGCATACATGCACAGGCGAGGCGTCATTCACCGGGACATCAAGCCCGAAAACTTTCTGTTCGCATCGGATGACGAGAATTCAATCCTCAAGGCCATCGACTTTGGCCTCTCCGACTACTGCCGAGAAGGGGACGTGCTCAGTGACATCGTGGGGAGCCCGTATTTCGTCGCGCCCGAGGTACTGAAGAAGGCATACGACCTAAAGGCGGACGAGTGGAGTATAGGCGTCATGACGTACATCATGCTGGTAGGAGCCAGACCGTTTTATGGCCGCACGCAATCCGAGGTATTCAGGTCGGTCCTGGACGAAAAGCCGAATATGGAGGAGGTGGAGATAACGGCGGAGGCCAGGGACTTCATAGAAAAGTTACTGACGCGAGACGTGCGAGGAAGACTGACGGCCGCTCAGGCCTTGACGCATCCATGGATGAGCGAAGTCCGGAACCGATAAACGCCGCTCACAACCTCTTGCTAAAGTGCCCTAATGTCTTTCTGATAGTAGAAGACTGCCTACACGAGCAGATCTTCCTCAACCGACGCCGCCCCTCGACAGTATCTACCAGGACGTAGACGGCCCTAGCCTTCGCTCTGCCCGGCGTTCCACCTCCTTCCACGATCGCCTGCTCGTGAGTGTAGGCAGCCTTGTCGAAATAGTAGAAAACGGTCATGAAGTCAGCCCCGGTTCGCTTCGGAGGGACGCCGTACACCTGCGAGAAGACATGCCGGTTCACCATTCGGAGCAGCTCTCGTCAAATCTGAAACCGTTTGGCCGCTGCCACAGATCGCTAAAAGCGAATGAATGTCATAATCGCCGAAAACGGGAGTGGAAGGCTCAGTCGGTGCAACCCCACGAGTCAGACGACGGTCCCGAGTTTTACCTTCTCAAGCTCCTGGATAGCCCACAGGTTGACCTTCGTCCATGGTTGGAAACCTCGCCCTTGCTTCGGCGCCTCCTTCTCCAGGGTCTCCCAGGTAACCACGATCTGAAAGAAACGCACAGAGCGTCTCAGAATCTAGCTCGGCGTGCGATGTGCTGCCACCTACCCCGCATTGCACTCATCAGCAATCAGAGAGGACACTTGCCAAACGGGGAATGTGATCAGCGGCGGGCGGTTCTGACTACAGCACTCACCGGCTCGTATCCACCGCCAGGGTTCCAGGCGAACTTTCGAGTGAGGTCGACAGGAGATGATCTCGGCTGACATTGCGCCGAACGGTCTCGCCGCGCCTGGGCTCTCCTGAAAGCTGTGTAGCACGTCTCCAACTCGTCCTTATAAGTCAACATTGCGGTCTTGAATTCCACCAGGAAGCGGAATTCGTTCTTGTGATCTTCGATGGTGCTTTCAGAGCTGTTAGAGACGGATATATAGAACCTGAAGCTCGACTCTTTATCCAACAGCTTGGAGAAGAGACTACCCACGGCTTCTGTAATGCGCGCTATCTGCAGCTCCATGTGACCAGTCGGATATTCTACAGCAAAGGCACGCAGCGCAGCTTCCAACTCTCTCCAAGGGGCCGCTCCATCATCAGAAGAGAACGGCATCTTGTTCTCATGAAAGTAGTTCCGCTCCAGAAAGTGAAGCAGCTGTGAGCACTTTGAAAGCCTCCTACCAGAAGCCACTAGAAAATCAGCACAGTCCCCGGCCTTGAGCGAGGTTTCTTGCCAGTGAAGCATGTAGCCCTCCATGTGCCCTCGATAAAGTTGGGGGCACTGGCACGTTGCCGCGGATTGGAATCGAAGTCAGAAGCGGATCTGCTGGAGGAACCCACTTCAGCGGCTTTTTAAGGCAGACAAAATTAAAGTGAGTTGACGTCAGCTCAAATACCCACCTCCTGACAGTCGCCCTGCTGCGTATGTCCCCCCTCTAAAGGGTAGCAATAGGCGTCCACTGTACAGTTCGGTAGTAACACAAGCTTACAGGTAGGGGTGGTCCAACTGTACTCGATTATTATGTCCGCACGTCGACGTGACGAGTCTCGAAACGTGCATGCAACCGTCGATCCGATCAAAATCTCGTTCGCGATAGTCAATAGCCGTCGAAGATACTTACGTGCAATGTGTTCACGTCAGCAGTCCAACCGTTTTTCGATGAGGTTCTGGACTAAATCACCAAGGGTAGGGTTACGACTACGGACTGTGCGAGCTTATATGGGTATGTCAACTGGAAGACTGCAGGAGATCAGGACTCCTCGTCGAAGACTACATCTACTTAAAGGCATGTTCGGCTTCGCCAGCAGCTCATTTTCAAAATCCAAAGTCTCCAGCTGCCCCCAGTATTGGCTATGGATCGTCACGTTCACATCAGGTGTTCTTTCAACCCGGACCACTGGGTCCCTCCCGATTCTAAGCACTACTCTCGCTTTCGCAACATAACCAGAGCGGCGCTGGGGCTCGAAAGGCTCACCGTAAATTCACATGGGCTCTTTGAAGCTCTGCGCGACGCCTTTGGAGCCAAGCAGACGGATATGGACAAGTACCTCAATCAGAAGGTTTCCGTCATACGGGACCTTTTCCCCAAACAGCTGGCCTCAACCAGCCCTTACCTCAGTGATTTCGACACGAAAACCTACTTCAATCAATTCCAGGTGGACCCAGCTCAGCTGAAGAGAGCCATGCTCAAGGTTGCGGGGGAGGGGGGTCCTGAGGTCGTCATCAATGGGGATGAGGTAAGAGAGGGGTCGGCGAGTGGGTTTAAATATAGAAGATTTAAACACAAAAGAAGGTCGTATTAGATGCAAAATTACACAAGCAAAGTGCAAAGCTGAGAGCGAGTCAGACCTTAGAACATTTGAGCTGAACATAACATCCTTCTTGTTAGCTCAGCTGCCTCTCCTGTCTCCTGTCTCATAAGCTCAGCCAGCTCCATATATCTTGGAGGCCGTAAGCAGCGTCTGGACTATGAGCCAGGCTAACCCCCAAAAGCAAGTCAAAAACAGAAATCAGCTAAGCTAGCTCAGCTGCCTGTCTTGTGATCTATTGCAGTGATGCTACCAATATCAGTCATTGATCAATGTTTTTGGCCCAGATCTTCACCACTAGTTCCTAATGTCTTGAAATCTACAAACGGCGTCTCATTCTATCAGGATCAGCGAACATGAGCCAGACAAACCCTAATGTTCTCTGTGTCAGCTCAAATGCCTTCATTGTACCGTGACTGTGTTTATCAAACTCAATTTGAAGCTGACACGCAGCGTCGATTTCTCGCAGTTTCTCTCTCGGCTGCTGCAAGTGGTCGAGCTGGACGCGGAACGTTTGGACCACGTGGCATACAATTTCATCATCGACTTGTTCGCGAAGGCGAGTAAGGGAACGAAGACGGACACCATCTTCCAGATCGAAGAAGACGCGGGGATGCTCAGTGTCTTCGGTGACGGGGAATGGACAGCTCTCGACGACGAGTTCCCCAGGGGGGTAACATGGGCCTTCCTCAAAGACCCCGAACGGTGCCAGCTCCCGACCCTGGAGCCCCCACCATTGCCACCGTTTCAGCCCGAAGCCCCACCTCCGCCCCCGGAGCTACCGCCCCAGCCTCGAGTTCCGCCTGTGCGTTTGCGCCCGCCCCAACCACAGCCCTCCTCCGTCGACAAACCCATTACTCGGACCAGCCCGCGGAGAACATCTCGCCCCAGCGATTCCGATTCAGATTCTGACTCTAACGAGGAGGATAGCGATGAGAGCGATGATGACGGGCCCCAGGGAGGTGCACACGGAGAGCGGGGAAAGCAGGGGGCGAGCGAGGATGTGGAGGCGGCCGGCGAGAGTGGCGAGCAGAGCGACGAGGGTAGCGAGAGTGAGGGTGGAGGCGCGGACAACGGGGGCAGCGAGAGTAGCAGCGGGGGCCGCCCGGTGACGCCATCGACGCCCCCCACCCCCGCCTGCAACGAGCAGATCGTGAGGAATGTGCTCGCTCCGCGCAATCTCAAGCTCGAAGAGCTGGAGGATCAGGACAAGTTGTACCGCAAAAAGAACTTTACCAAGAGAGACGCAATGCTGGCGACACGTGATCTTGCGAGGGCAGTCCTGGGAGGCAGAGTGGCTGTCAATGCGGTCAACGGGGGAGCGGAAGCAGGTGTCGGCAGGGCCCCGCAGAGGGAAGCTGATGCGGGCGGGTCCGCGACCGTCACGAGCATTCTCGGCGTGGTGACGGCTCAGCAGGCCACCTTGCTCAAAATCATAGATAAGCAACAGGAAGACGCTAGGGAGGAGAGGGCCGGTCTCGTCACAACGATGATGACTAACGTGCGAGCGATGTCGCAGAAACAGACGGACGGTATGCAAGCGTTTGCACGGAGTTTGATGCAGTCGACTGCCCGCCACCCGGCATTCCGCATCGAAGGTGACCGCCCGAAACCTTATTCTGTGCTCATTCCGCCATCGCTTATCCTTCCATGATTGCAATTCGATTCTAATTCTCTGCCGTCTCCGTTCTCGCCCCCTCACTTCAACGCTTTGGTCCCACTCTGATGGTCCAGTGGGTATATATTCGAGTATTTCGCGACAAGAGGCTGACCAGAACACTCATTATTGCGCGCAGAGCAACCGGCTCGCTCCACCGACTCGAGCAGGTCGGACAAGAAGAGGAAAGACCCCGGCTCTCGGTTCGAGGAGATAGGGAAGAGGAAGACTAGCTCGAGGCAGTCTAGATAGTCAGACTTGTAATAATCGTCTGATCAGAGTCGCTTACATATTAAGTACAGAAACACGTGTCTCGCGTCTTACTAAGGGGTGTGAATAGGACCTCAATTCTGTGCATGATCCATGAAAGCGCAGTCGGATGTAATTGTACTCCCCCCTGGACCACCATTGTACTTCTTGTCAGAGTCGACATGAATGTATTGGCTTTATTCTACTCTCTTTGTTCACCATTGGCAATTCCATGCATGAGCATCTCGGACGTGATCCGCCCAGGTCGATTATTTCTGCGTTTCTAACTCGACGCATTTCCTTGTCATCATACAAACATGGCTTCCGACTATGCATTCATGAAGGCCGGACCGCGTGACGCACCGAGGGGCATAGACCCTGCGTTCGTTGCCAACGTCGAGGCCCTCGTTTATACACTCGTTGGAAACGCCGCAGAGAGCGCTTGCAAGTATGCGGAGCACTCTTGCAGGCACAGGGCGAGTATAGAAGACGTGTTTTCCGCACTCAGATATCAGGTGAGGCGTTTCTTCCATTACGAAGCTCTGGAAAGGGACGTCAAGAGGACGGCCGGGATATTGGACGCTCTATCCCAGGAAGACGCAGAAGACACAGCGGAATCGGATGCAGAGTCCGAAGAGTCCGAACATGGCGGCCTGCATGAGGCTTGCCGTTGTGACTTTTGCGGTGCCGTGGAAGCGACGAACGAAAGTTGGAACGAGTGGCATCCGAACGATCCCGCTGAGGCCTTTCTCAAGCGCAAGGTTGACGAGACAGTCGCTCGATTCGCGACCATTTGAACCCACTATAATTTTCGAATGTTGTTGTAGCTCAATGGCGCTCCTGTTCAGCGCGCTCACCATCATCGCCATGGTATGTTATAGCGCGATGATAGTCGCATTGGTAATCGCAGTATTGATAGACGACGATGATGTTTCGCTCTGAGTATGGATGCGACACATTGAAATCGTGTTACACGAATATGTTACACGAACACTGATTTCAGAGGTTTACATCTGCTGTACGTTTCATATGCCAATAGTGGACACGACGTACCAAAATCAAACGCACAGTGCGTTTCATCCCCTTGAATTTCCTCAGGGAGTACATCAAGGAGGCATGGGGTATGTCTCTCTCTCGAGCGCACGGCACCACTTTGGCGTCTCGGGGAAGACTCTATACCGATGGGAGGCATCTGGCAAAGTCACCGTCAAGAGGAGCCCAGGGAACAGGAGGCTCTTCCTCGTCGACGACCCGCAGCCTCAGTACGAGCCAACGAGGGAGTCGGTTGTGTACGTCCGGGTCTCGAGCAGCAAGCAACAGGACGACATGCGACGCCAGGAGAAGTATCTACTTGACCAACACCCCGGATCCAGAGTTGTCAGGGACATCGGCTCGGGCCTCAACTTCAAGAGGAAGGGACTTCTATCCCTTCTGGAACGAAGCGAGGAAGGACTGCTACGCCGAGTTGTGGTTGCCTCGGAGGACAGGCTGTGCCGTTTCGGCTTCGATCTCCTCGCCTGGCAATTCAAAAGACACGGTGTCGAGCTCCTGGTTTGCGACAAGGCAGATAAGTCACCGGAGGCGGAACTGGCAGAGGATGTGCTCGCCGTCATTCAGGTTTTCGGTTGCCGATGGAACGGCAAGCGAAGGTATGCCAGCAGACGAGCCGGCAATAAGAACCAGAAAGATCCGCCTGCTGCCAAACAAGGCACAGAAGAAGATGCTGAACAGATGGAGGCACGCGGCACGGTTCAGCTACAACAGAGCGGTGTCTCTCATGCACGAGACCTCCGTCTACAACAAGATGCGGCTCAGGAACATGATCACCCCTGCTGAGGTCAATCAGGACAACCTTTGGCTGCTGGAGACTCCGAAGGATATACGAGCAGGAGCTGTATTCGAGGCGGCAAAGAACATCAAGGCCGCATTCACCAACAAGGCCAGGGGCAACATCGAGAACTTCAAGATGGGCTATAGGAGCAGGAAGAAGGAGGACAGTTGTGGTTGGACCATCAACGTACCAAAGACCGCCTTAAAGGTCAAAGGAGAGCGTTGCTTGCAGGTGTATAGAGATTCCTGCCCATGGCTCTTCCAGACCCTGGGTAGGATAGGGCCGTTGAGCATGGACTGTAAGATCCAGTTCGATGGGATGAGGTACTTTCTCATAGTGCCATACGAGAGACACGTAGTCTCTCCTCGGAGAGAGGGTGTCATTGCACTGGATCCTGGGGTGCGGACCTTCCAGACAGCTTACTCACCCGATGGGCATTGCTACGAATTAGGACGGTCATGCTGTAGGAGGCTCGAGGCCCTCTGTGTCCATCTGGACCGCCTGATATCGTTGGCGAGTGTCACGCCAAAGACGCTGAGGAGAACGAAGTGGGCCATGGGCTTGCGTATCAAGAAGCTACGCAGGCGGCTACAGAGCCTGAGGGACGAGATGCATTACAAGGCAGCAGATTACTTGACGAGGACGGCACACATCATCCTTCTTCCCACCTTCGAGACGAAGGACATGACTCGAAGAACGACTAGAAGGTTACGGAGCAGGACCGTACGGAACCTGTCACTCCTGTCGCACTACAAGTTCAAACAGCGGCTGATAGCCAAGGCCGCTGTGCGAGGGGTGAAGGTCCTGCAAGTCAGCGAACACTACACGAGCAAGACATGCGGGAGGTGCGGATCTATACACGAGACGTTGGGAGGGAGAAGAGTGTTCAAATGCCCGAGGTGTGGTGTAGTGCTCGACAGGGACTGCAACGGGGCTCGTAACGTGCTACTTAGAGCCATGCGAGAAGAACCCCCCTCCAGGGGGGCAATGCAAGATGGAGCCACGGTAGATATGCCGTGCTTAGCCTGGACGAACGAATGACCCAAGTGTCTAGGTTTGTCCAGTGATTGATCCATCGGTCAGCACCAACATATTGGACTCTCGAGGCGAGTCTCGTTATTCATTCAAGGGGTACGGGCCCGACGAGAGTGAAATGAAAGCCAAAACTATAGCAGCTCGAGACAAGCGCTGCAGGCCAGAAGACCGCGTGACGGAGCCTCTGGTCACTACGCTGCCGATCTGCGACGTATGCGACGATCGTATCGAAGTGTTTGATGTTTCGCAAGATTTTCACTATTACATCATGTAGCTAGCCGAACCAAATCCAAGACTGCTTCTGGTGTTCTACTCTCTCTACACGACCCTCACGCCTTCCTTTCTAGACCGTAGTCGCGAAAGCATCCTTGATCAGCTCCTCGGCCCCGTCTTTAGGATAGGTCTAGACGTTGAAAGTCTGTCCCGCCCCGACCTCGTTCGTTCCCAAGTACGCCTGCGAGAACCTGATGCGATGGCGCGCCAGCATGTCCGGCGTGATCGCATGAACCGCCTCCTTGTGCACGATCGCATCCTCCTTGTACGTGCGCTCCCAGCGGTTCTGACCGTCCTGGTCGAGACTCCCGTTTCCGGGGATGTTCATCCAGCGCTTTCCCACGGCGAGACCGACCTTGGACAGGTGGCTCGAGACCAGACGGTCGGATCTGAGGCGCAGAACGTCCCTCCCGATCTCCAGCACCGTCACTCGCTGTGCCGTCGCCGCGGGCGCAGCGGGAGCAGGCAGAGCCGGAGGGCCGCCCTGGGAGGCGGAAGCGACGTCGCCGGTCAAGGCGCTCAGCTGCGCGATAGCCTGCGACGCGAAATTATGCCTGGCGGCGTTGAGCATCCCCAGCAGCGCGGGGGGCGTCGGCAGCCCTGATGCGCTCCCCGCGAAGAGGATGTCAATAATCTCGCCTTTCGCCTGAGCGGTCTCCCTGCAATCCTGCAGCTTGATGGCGCGCACGTTTTTCTTTCCCCTTTCCATTTCCTCATCCAGCTCGTTCTGCAGCTTCTGGCGCTTGATTGCGCGCAGCACGTCGCAGTCGGGGTCGGCGGGCTCGGTTCCGCGCTCAGCCTCCACCGTCTGAGCAAAGATCCTGAGCGGGTGGTCCTCCGCAAGGCGCTCCTGCGCATCCCTGATGCTGCGGATCTCGCCGATCAGCGTCTCGTCACCGCCCAGGTAGCGAACCAGGGTGTCGGCAAACTTCTGACGGAACTTGGCGGCGCGAGGCCCACTGAGCTGGTTAATGATGATGACTACGCCCTTCGCATCAGTGATAGGCGTACCAGTTTGTCCCTGTCCTGGGAATCTAGTGGAATCATTATCGATGCGGATGTTCTCCTCAATGAAACGTTCGGAGAGCTTGCTCCAAATCTGTCCAGGATTATAGACCCCCGTCACAGCAGCAATCAGGTCGATGATGCTGATCTTGGGTGGCACTTCAGCCGTCTTTCTGATGCGAGCGCCTCGGAACTCTCCGAAAAGATCGTTGTCAAGAACCAGGTCCCTCGGTTGGGTGCTGACAACTGCACCGGCATTCTCTCGCGACGGTGTCTCAATTACAACTTCACCAGTGGCTTCCACCGGACGCAAACCTAAGCCGACGTAGACGCCGGTGCTCTTTCGGTTCGGCCCGTACGCCCTGGTCGCGAGAGCGTAGCCCGCTGCCTTTAGGGCATCAGGAAACCCCCTGGGAACGGGCTCCCCTCCCTGCCAGGCCTGAAACGCGTCCCTGAGCTCGCGGCGCGCGACGAGCAACCCCTCGCCGGCGTCGCACCGCGCCGAGACGAAAGCGCGAAGCTTTTCAGAGTCCATCCTCATTATGAAAGCTTGGGGGACTACTTCTGCTTTCTTATAGTGGTGGGGTCCGGACTTTTCGCCGAAAAGTTCCACGAAGTAGCACAGAAATCTTTGCATAAAGACTTTATTTCTCCAATGTAAGGGTCAATATTTATACTTTTGGGGTTTTAATGTTTTAGGGTCAAGAAAGTCAGTAAAAATCGGCGGGGGAGGGCCAGTTTGAGGGCCAAAAATGGCCCGGTGGAGCGCTGCGCAAGTTTATGCCAAGGTGCAAGGGGAATGGGTAACCATTCACGAGCACTAAGGGCGAGCAGAACGCGCTTCTGCTCTGGGCAAAGTCTATGCCAAGCTATAACGGGAAGCAATATCTTCTTTCACGAGCGCTGAGCAGAGCGCGCTTCGGCTCTAGGCAAAGTCTATGCCAATGTGTAACGGGAAGCGATATATCGCAGAGCGCGCTTCGGCTCTGGGCAAAGTCTATGCCAA